GGAAAAAGTCATATAAAATCAAAAACTGATTATTTCATCAATTATTACCATCGGAACTGATTGTTTCAACCCGTATGTAAACAACAGAAGAATAAGCGAATTTATCTTCATACAAATCTAACTTTTCCCAGATATAACTTTGTGTTTTTAATAGAGTTTGTTGCGAGATAAGTAAATCGAGTATTATTGTGATTCGTCATGTGAATAAATTGTCAGAAAAATTGAAACATTAAAAAGTTTGATCGTAAAATTGATAAAAAACTTAATCCAAGTATTGGTGATATGGTCAATAAGTGCCAAAAAATTGCTCAGGATAATAAAAACAAAAATAATGATGAAAATTATATAAAACTGGAGAATTTTCAGTGTACGATTTACTTTATGAATGTGGTGATTTGTACACAGATGAAACGGCATAATTGAAAAAAACGATATGGATAATTCAGAATTAGTTCAACATATTATTGTTAATGTCTGTTATTCAATTAAATTCGATGAAACTGTAATTTTCGATGAAAGTAATGTTTTTCGAAGGATGAAACTAGAAAGTGTTTATTCTGTTGTCAGTCGATCGTGTAGTAAGCATCAAAAGACTAGTCCACAGTGAATATCAATGGTTTAACAGTGGATTAAACCACGATCAGAAAAAAGTTTCTATCCAGTAGAAAACAGTAAAGGAGAAAAATATCATTCTAAAGTCCTAAATAGTAATACTAATTGTGCTAAATTGCGTCATACTATACAGTATAATCTTAGAGGGTATTCAAATAAAACGAAACATTTTGCAGTAGGTTAATTTTCATTTAATAAAACAGTTTGTTTTATAATAATTCCTTGTTTATTGCTTATATACGGTTTAGTTTAGGGAGAACTTTTTTTCAATTAGCAATGTACAGTCATATGTATGTTTAACATCCTTCTTGGTGTTTACTTTACTCTGTAACTTGCGTACATTGTATCTGCTTGTAGAAAAAGAAAAACTTATAACTATAAGCAGAAAGAAATATAAAGAGATGAGAAGAAAATAAGAAGTGTATCCCCCCATCTGGATGTATTTCGTTATATTTGTACAATAGTTTTATCGTCAGCATCGCGTAAACTTTTTACAAATTTATTTTGTCTTTGTTGCTGTTTAATTATATTTTTATATATTTTTAAATTTTCTAAATTCTTGATTAAATTGAACTTTATTTTTGTGCCATTGAAGAAAATTTAGCTAATAAATTGAAACGTCTGACTTAGTACAATACTCTTACGAATACTAAGCAACTAAACTTTAATTTTAATAAGAAAACGGTCTGTAAAGACCTAATAATTACTCGCATTGTCATATTCTGAAGCAGCATCATCGATTACATATGTATACATGACTTTTATTGAAAAAAAAGTTAATTGAATGGTTAGGGATCTTCCCTAGGAAGATGAAGACCTGTCACGTAGATGCTGAAGCATTTATCTAATCATTATCATTATTAAGAATGCAGTATATTTTATAATATATTTTTTCGATATCTATCGCGCATTGAGAATATGAATAAAAATATACAAGTCGACGGTCGAAGATAGACCGAAATTGTTGGAGAGAAAAAGAGCGATATATCTATTGTCCGCCGTTTTGATCCTATACTGTCAATAGACTAACTGTTCTTAAATCATTATTTTTCTTTCTATCGTGTTTTTTATTCAACAAAAAACTAAGGAAAATAAATATACTTAAGTCACCCGTCTGTATATAGTCTCCATTCATCTTCAAGTTGACAAGGTTTTTAAAAAGTTCAAGTTCACGTGCAAAACATCACAACACACATCTGGATCATATTCAATCTATCTTTATTTCGATTGATGATTGAAAAAATTAAAAAAACAAATTTTCTTATTTTTAGTTTTATACTATTGACATTTCTATTTTCATTTGCCTACAATGCACAACGCGAAGCAAAAAGAAATGAAATTCTACTATCAGAACCATTATCATCGATGACTTCATGTCGATATCGTATACCACGTTTAATACATCAAACAGTCAAATCAAAATTGAATATATCAAAAGATACTCAAATGGCTATTCAAAGTTGGCAATTAAAAAATCCTCAATATCGTCATTTACTCTATGATGATCAAGATTTGGAACAATTTGTTATTAACTCTTATCCTCATCTATTACCATTATTTCGTGAAAAATTAAAAACACAAGTTGAACGAACAGATTTATGGCGTTATTTAGTTTTACATGAATATGGTGGTATTTATACGGATAGTGATACAATATGTGTACAACCAATTGATGAATGGCCAATAGATAATCATACAGAATTGGTTATTGGTATTGAAGCTAATATGCCTAATCATACAGAAGTTGAACGTTTTAAATTAGTATATTCTATACAATTTATGCAATGGACGATTGTTGCAAAACCAAAACATCCACTATTGTTCAATGTATTTTCACGAATTGATGAATATGTTAATAATGAACAAAATGATTATGATTCGTCTAAAATGGGTGTTTTAAAGCGTACAGGACCAGGAATGTTTACACAAGTTATTAATGATTATTTAAATAAAACTTTGAATCTAACATCCAAAGATGTTGTTAATGGTGGCACATATGATCATAAACGATTAAAAATTGTTAATATAAACGGTTTTGGTGCAGGACAACCACATAGTCATAGTGCATCACTATTATCATTACAAAATAGAACAGATATCTATGCATATCATTTATTTCATGGTGGTTGGAAAAAGTCATATAAAATCAAAAACTGATTATTTCATCAATTATTACCATCGGAACTGATTGTTTCAACCCGTATGTAAACAACAGAAGAATAAGCGAATTTATCTTCATACAAATCTAACTTTTCTCAGATATAACTTTGTATTTTAAAAGAGTTTACGGCGAGAAAAAATGTTTACTTTTTATATCCGCTAAAACCCAGGTTTCAATAAAGTTTACGTAAAATTTCTCATGGTTTATCCTAAGGAGCATATTCTACTATGTACATACTACGAATTATTTTAAGGTCGCGACGTCAGTTCATATTCGTTCACACAATCGGAACATCTATATCAAGGGTAATGAAAAAAGCGTGAAACTAGTATCTTTTTTGGAACACGGGACGAACATAAACTGGTCAGTGTACGCTGCACATTTCTATGCTCAGTTGCAGCGGGAGCTAAAACAAAAAAAGAACGAAAATCATAATTAAACTTTTTAAAAAGAATATTTCTTAATCTCAATTGCTCGCTCACTTTAAATTGCTGTAATTGTTCATCACAACGTTGTTTCTCGAAAACTGAAGATCTGCTTGTCTTGTTGTTGTTTTTCAAACAAAGCTTATTGGAAAATATCAAATAAAGCTAAACATCCAAAGATATGTCCACCAATTAAATTTAAAATTAAGAGTACGAAAAAGTACCTTTTTCCATCTCAATCATAAAAAGTGATACAAGCTCATTCAACAACAATGCAAGCTGATTCATGATGAATCGAAGTTTAAATCTGAAAAAACTTAATTTCAGATTTCCAAACATCACTAGAATTTTACAAGGCTTTTAAGAATCTCTTTCACTGGCAACACAACAAGCAGTCTCATTCATCAGCTACATCTGTTTGCTTACAAGCATTGGTTAGCCGTTACGCTAATGAAAACTGTTGCTCGATGAAATAAGAAAAAGAATAAATATTTCTGATTTAATGTTTGATTTGAAAAATCAAATAAAGTTTTAAGAAAATAAATCAAAATATCGATTATCTCAAT